CATTCGAATTATTTGTAGTCTCATAAATATTTTTTATAATTTGTATACATAAAAAAAAAAATAGAACAAACAAACAAAAAGTGATGGGGAAAAAAAATGTATATCATTATCGTGGGGGAATAATATTTTTAAATAAAATAAATAAGATTTTATTTTATATCGTTGTAGAGAAAGAAATCCGGAAAATCTATCAATTGAATTTTCGAACTTGCAATTTCGTACGATTACGAAAAGTTCCTCTTTCTCAACGATAAATAAATAAAGTTTCTTCCTTGAGTGACCACACACCTGTTTCGATTGAATTTCATTTTCTTGTTTTAAATCGAATCAAGGGTTAATGGATTCTATCTCTCTTCTAGTTCTCGTGTTGTATACAAAAAAGAAAAAGAATTACAAATCTAAACATATATAAATAAAGGATCACACACACACACACACACACGAATACGAGTTACAAATTATTCGTCACTAATAATTATCAATCAAATTATTGAAATACAATTATGATTTTATTTTGCAGACAAAATTTGTTAACTCAAATAATAATACTTGTATACAAAAATTGATTAGGTTATATTCAAAAACAGTTGCATCTTAAATATATTATTATTATTTTTCTTCGTTCTCTTTTTACAATAATAAATATGCATTGTATAAAAAAAAAAAGAAGAAATAAAATAAGAAAAATATTGAAACGAGAGAATGAAATAATTCGAAAAATGATTATTTTGTTCTTTTTAAAATATGCACATAATTAGATTCTCAATACATATATATATATATATATTAATTATTTTATTTGATTTTTCTTTTATAAAAATAAAATGTTTTAAAAGATATCTGTAAGATAGATTTTATTTTACAACAACCCCCTCTTCACCCTGATTGATCAAAGTTTTTCTTTATACACGAATTGCATTGCAAATAAAAATACTCTTTTAGTTTTTCAAAATATTACACATGGGGAATAGAAAATAACGTGAGTCTTAGTATAACAAGTTAACGTATTGGCGTAATTTCATTTAATTCACCGAGACGAAAACAGATTTTCATCCCTTCGGTAAGTAATGTTTTGATATAACCCTCTTATTTCGGTTAAGGGTGTTTTCTATTCTGTGAACGTAGCGTTACGAGAAATGATTTATAGTATATATACACGTTCCGACATTTCAATGATAATACTTATTTATTAGATTTTTTAATAATAAACTAAAATATGTCTTTTATCTAAGAAACCATTTTACGGTTCATATCTAAAGCTTTTTTTTTTTCATTACTATACTTAGAAAACAAAATAAATCAAAAGATGTATCAATTTGTCATCAGTTGATTTTCTATTATTTTTAAATACCATTTCTAATTTTTATTAGATACCTATATATATATATTATTTTATTTATTTATTATAAAATGTATATTAAAACGTATTTGATGATATTAAATAATTATTTAAGTAATTTATTAAGTGTTTATATATATACCCCTAAGAAAAATTATTAAGTAAAATTTATGAAGTAATTAATTAAGTTATTATTGATTAATTAATATCATAAAATAATTAAGTATTTTTTCAATTAAACGTTCCATACTGTTTAAAAATGAAAATATGATAATTATAAAGATATGGTTTTTAATTATATAGATGTGTATTATATATGAATTATTTCGTAAGTGGTTGATACTTTACAGAATCCGAAATTGGAAGTTGGATATAATATTGTAGTTAGTATATCGGATTATGTTTTCAGTATAGAGGATGTTATTTCATGTTTAGTATGTCAGTTTACATTTCTACTCTGATCTATGTGGTATACTCGTGAAGCTTTAGGAAAACAGAATGTTCAACACTTGATTATAAGGGGTTTGCTGGTATAATTCAACATTCTGTATTATGTTTTAATTAATGACGTTCGCTTATTATTATTATTATTATTACTATTAGAATAATTAATTAAAATAAATAATTAATAGAAAATTAAATGGATATAAAGAAAAATTGTTTGAATTTTGTGAAAGGAATAAAATATTTTCTAACTGTAAAGAAATTCTTTCTAAGAAAAAAAAANAAAATTAAATGGATATAAAGAAAAATTGTTTGAATTTTGTGAAAGGAATAAAATATTTTCTAACTGTAAAGAAATTCTTTCTAAGAAAAAAAAAAAACAAAAAGAAATAAGAAGTAGATAATGGGGGGGGGGGAAATAAAAAAATTCGATCAAATTAATTCGGTAATTTAATGAATAGTAATGATTTGCCAAATCAGTTTGAATATATTTTTCTAAATCATTTTTACTAGTCCAAATAAAAGTTTAGAAATTGTTTTCCAACCCTATCTTTTTTAGTATCGTTTTTTCTGTTTACCTTTATTATTCTCCCATATATTTATCGTATTATTTAAACATTTAATTTACTGTTATTTTCTATCAGAAATGTAACATTCGTACAAATGTTTTAATCATCAATACTGCAAATAATAAAATATACGCGTCTGTATACTTAACAATTTATTTGTTTTTCTATATAAATGATAAAAATATATATTATATAATAAATTAATCAAATATTAATTAGAAGAATTATTTGTATATATTAAATTAATCGAACATATTTACATGTTCACAAAATAAATAATTTAAAACATAGAGAACACCAAATTTTGAATGATTTAGAAAAGTCAACCAAAAAATTGATTGAAAATCTACACACACACACACATATATATCCATTCGTTGTTTTTTGTTCGGTTATTTATGTTTGATGATTTACAGTATGGAAAATCTAACGGGAAAACATATTTTCCAATAAAGATTTAACAATTATTTTCGAAGGATCGATAGATAAATCGATCCATCGATCTAACGTTAGATCTGTGTGTTAGTTTGACGAAACATTGACGGAATAATATTCACGGATATTTCACGTGTTCGCTCTCACAAATGCATGGAATTGCTCAACAACCATTCTCAACTTGTGCACGCCTCGTTTGCACGGGAAATCCGATATTTTACGAACTGAGAGTATTTGCCACTGAAATAAATGATTGCCAACCGAGAGAGAACGTTACCACAGCGGATTCGATCAGTTTTCCATATACATAGATGTGTGTGTGTGTGTGTGTGTGTATGTATAGTTAACAGACTATTTGTGAGAACAAAATATAAGTTAAAAAAAAGATTTCATTTGATTTCTCTTCATTTCTTATGATTTTTTTGCTTTTTCTTTTTTTATAATTCTTAATCAAGACACTCGTATTTCTATATATATA